GGGGGGGGGGGTGTTGCAGTTGAGAAACAGTAGTACGGTACCCTTTTTGCTTAGAGATTATACTTGAATTGAGGCTATGACTTAATCTGAATGCTTGAGGAAGAAGGTCCCCGGCAACTACCTGTATATATGAAAGAAATACATCCAGATTTAATCACAACATCCCTTAATTGTAGGATTAAATAAAAACGGATATAAATTAGAAATATAATAACAGAAATACTGAACAAAAATAATGGAAATCTAATCAAATTTTAACAATTATTTTTAGTTTTTGATGCTTCTTTTATGTCATTGTAAGCAATTTTATCCTTCTCATTATTTTGTGGTTACAAATTGAATTTTTTGTTCTGTGTGCGTTGGGGGGTGTTTATTCTAGGGCAAGGTCAAGGATATTGAATTGAAAGGTCACACTGATAGTGTGGATCAACTATGCTGGGACCCCAAACATGCTGACCTGATTGCAACTGCTTCTGGTGACAAGACTGTTCGTTTGTGGGATGCTCGTAGTAAGTGATTCAGTTGCACAATTTACTTTAGTTTTTCATACCAGAAGAGAAGAGAATTATTGTGGCCTTTTATTGTATGGTTATATTCTCTTTATCCCATGCACACTTACTATATTTGCAATTGGAGTGCGCAAATAAAGGGTTTATTTACTTGAAATATTTCTGTAGGTAAGATTAATGTTTTTTTTTATGGATAGTTGGAAAAATTGCTAATTGAGTTAGCTTAAAGGAAGTCTAAAATTAAGTTAATGGAGAATGTTTATTATTTTTTGAGGGCTAGGGAGGGGGGTTGAAAAAAAGTTGCTCATATTTAGTTTCTGCAGGTGGAAAATGCTCACAACAGGCAGAACTTAGTGGGGAGAATATAAACATCACTTACAAACCTGATGGGACTCATGTAGCTGTAGGTAACAGGGTATGTGACACAATCCCTTTAATTTGGTTTAAGCTCTGAAGTGCAGATTTGGTGACTGGATGTGTCAATATCAACTATATGTTTTTATGTTTGGATTGTTACTTGTTCTAGAATAATTAGCTTCATAGCTAATAATCAGATCATGTCTATGATTTTCCTGCTGTTTTTCAGTGTGAAGTGATACCTTGTTTTGTATATTTCATAGGATGATGAATTAACAATACTGGATGTCCGGAAGTTCAAACCAATTCATAGGCGCAAGTTCAATTATGAGGTATCGTCTATACTTCATTCTTTCTGTCTTGTCTGTTTTTTTCAGTTTGTAAATGGTTACTTTTGAGAATAAGAAATGATACTGAACCTCGGAAATCTGGAGCAATTTGTCTTTCATTAGCCTGTTTAATTGGTAAAATATATATCTTAGTTTGATTGTCTTCTCTTTCAAACCACCCAGCTATGTTGAGGAATCATAGTTGAAGTTTACAGTCATAAAGAGCTCGTTAGTTGGAGTGTAACTTTGTTTTAAAAGTTGATACTCATTTGCACTCAATTGGAAGAATTAAGTGCCCTAATATCAAACACATAAAAAATAACCGGGAATTTTTATAGTTTTTATTTTGTTTGACCTCCATATCTATTGAACGAGTGATTTACAATTTCTGTGCCTTGAAACCTGATTTGTCTTTTAACGATAGACGGAATGTTGTTTTTAACTACGTCCACCCGAAAGTAAGTTTTAAGGGTTCACCCTATATAGAGAATAGCGTGGATTACTAACTGTATGAGTACCATAATGCTTCTGCTTCCGATCATACACCCTCACTTTCTGAACCACTTGTGTTTTCTGGTTCCTAGTTTTTGTTTAATTCACTTTTTCTATTATTCTCACCTGAAGCTCCAATTCCGTCGAAACCATTCATTATTATACTGTTTTGGAGTTCATTGTTTTGCTCAACTGCACTAAACTTATGCCTGATCTTTTGGGGAACATACATGTCCATCTATGATTACACACTTTGAATACTTAAAAAGTGTATAGCCTTTTTGTTTAGCACAACGGGAGACATGTTTAACTCTATTGAGAAGAATTAATTCCAATGAACTCGATGATTCCCATGTTTTCCTAGGTAAATGAGATTGCTTGGAACATGACGGGTGAGATGTTCTTTCTAACGACAGGAAATGGTAAGATCATTGTTTGATTTGGTGCTTTCTAAAATATGAATCTCAACTTGGGCTCTGATAAAGTAGATAAGTTTCTTATATATTTTTATTACATGCATGCTCTTGCAGGGACCGTGGAAGTACTGTCTTACCCATCTCTTCGACCTCTTGATACTCTCATGGCTCATACTGCCGGTTGTTATTGCATTGCAATTGATCCAATGGGAAGGTATGTTTCCAATTGTTTATTATTTCTGGTCTCACTAATTGCACTACAATTAGCAAGGTAGGATACAAATGCACAACCATATATCTGATTATAAATTCAATTTTTCTGTCTTCATTTCCTTCAATAGAATCTTAGTTTTCATAGAAAAGTATCTATATTCTATAAGGGCATCACATGTCATGATATTGTGGCAGATATTTTGCTGTTGGAAGTGCCGATTCCCTTGTCAGCCTGTGGGATATCTCAGAGATGCTCTGCGTGCGTACCTTCACAAAGCTGGAGTGAGTTCTCCTTGGCTTTCATGTTTGTGTATTCAGCTTTTGTTTTTCAGGTTATATTGATTGTGTTTCTTGTGACAAATGTGGAATGTTATGTTTCTCAGATGGCCTGTCCGGACAATTGGCTTCAATTATACTGGGGATTTTATTGCTTCTGCAAGTGAAGACTTGTTCATTGATATTGTAAGCTACATGACATTTATTTGAGTAAATTACAGTCACACCCATTAAGGTTTTGTGATATTGCTCCGAGACTTCTATTTTTTTAATGATTACAGTATCCTCCCCTACATCATAGAGTAATATTTTTCAAATAATTAAAAGAGTTAATGTAATGTTTAAAGGGTGTTGGTGTACTGCCTTTCGAACAATTATGGAATAGAAAAAGTGCATTTGTGCAATTTCAAAAAATATTGGTGTAATTTACTCTTTATTGTTCTGTAACACATCTTTTGCAGGACTTGGTTTTATTAATCCATGAAATGATTGAAATTGAATTTTCCTTTTGTTTGCTACTTTGTGAAACAGTCAAATGTTCAAGCTGGAAGAACAGTGCATCAAATTCCTTGCAGGGCTGCAATGAACAGTGTTGAGTGGAATCCCAAATACAATTTACTTGCATATGCTGGTGATGACAAAAACAAGTATCAGGCTGATGAAGGTATAATTTTTCGGTTACCTGTGAAGTGTTAATGGAAATACACAAAAAATCATAAAATGTTGCTGTTAACTTTTGTGCATTTTTGGTTGCAGGTGTTTTTCGCATTTTTGGTTTTGAAAATGCTTAGTATTTGAGAATGCAACCAAAGAGGGAAAGGAAGACTTGTATGCAAACAAATGGGCTCCGGTTGTATGCAGGACTGAGCCTAAAGGATCTGAATTAGATTATTTTGTATTAATTTTGTTGCTTCTCATTTACATTCATGGATACGAATAGTAAAATGATTTTTTTTCTTCATATCCTTAGTAAAATCATTATGGGAAAACGAGAACCAACTACTTTTAACAGGTTGGGGTGCGTTTAAAGATTTTTTAATTTATACGTTACAAAAGTTGTGACCATTTTAACCGGTGAAGTAATCTTTTAAGAATTCTTTAATTTATATATATACGTTATAATATTTGGGACTTTAACTTCTTAAAGATTCTAATTGTTAATTCTGATCTTCCATGAGATTATATCTTTAGGTCAAATATAAACTTCTACTGTATTAAAAAATAATAATAATAAAGCCAAGACATGGTTTGAAAACCAATTTAACGGGATGACTACATTAATATATGTTATGGCTAAGTTGTGACTCCAATAATATACAATTTTGAAATAGTTTAAAAATCAATTGTGGAAAAAATTTATCAAAATTTCACGTCAGAACCGGTTAGTTTGCATTAATTTGTGTCTTACTTTTTATATTTTGGAATGAGGAACATTCATATTCAAATTCAATGGGAGCATGAAAATAAAGCATCACGAAAAAGACTTTTTTGCACAATTTTAGAAGAATGCAATGGGATATACTACTGAAAGGAAAATGAAAGTATTTGGTCCCTTATAATCAACACTGGCTAGATCTCATATCAATACAAGGTTCCTCAGATACTTCAATCTTTTATTTCTTTGGCAATATAAAGTTCCAAAAATGATACAACATTTATATTGCAACAAATGAATGTGAATGTAGATAGATATGAAGAGCACACAAGAGGTGTTGCTTTCAGAATAGAAAGAATTACGCCTCTTGAAGGATCTCCGGTCACAATTATCGTACTCTGAGACCCTCCATCAACTACGCAGCAAATCAGCAACACAATAATCAAGGGAAACTTCTTTAATCGGGACTTGAATCAATTTAATAAATGTATCTCCTGTCTCCCATAGTTGGTCCTGTAGCATTGTATAACATGCTCCAGCCCCCCCCTCCTTGCAAAATATGAACTCTGCATTGAAATCTGAGGCTCCTCTTATTAGGTTGCCTTATCTATCGGACCAAAAACGCTTCATTCCCCCACCAGAGACTAAACAAGTGCATCAGACACAACAACACAAACAGTAAAAACATTAACCAATCAGAAATCATCATAGTCTAAAGTTTACATTACAAAGAAGCCTTTTACATCTTTCAATTTTCACTAAATATTAGTTTTAGTATGTACACTCTTAAGACAAAATTCACATCATTTTCAAAGATAGACACTAAAACTAATGTTGACCCATTGAGGATCTACAACAAATTTTATCCTTTTAAAAAATAACAAACTTTCTCTACATTTTATTTTATATCTCATTTAAAACCAAAGCTAAAAAGGAAAAGTTTATGAGTTAAAAAAAACTTAACTGGTTTTCAAACACTAGGAAGTGTCATTGGTTTATGTAAACTATATTACATGTATTTAAGTTTTTCAATCTTCCAGAAAAAACAATAACACTTAATTACATATTATGTATAGACAATCTAGTTAGGAATCATATCGATCAAAAGTCCATACATGAGAAAAACATACCAGAACAAGTCCCTCACCAAAGTCCATGCTCCAAGGATCCATCCACGAAGCCCATGATCACAAGGCACAGAGGACAAACTTGGAAGCAGGAAAGGCCAGACCTGTAAAGCAAACAAGAGAAACAGTGAGCAAGTTCCTAGAACACCAAGTGAGAGGCCTCCATTTGATCTCAACACTAGAACTCTTCATCCTCTTCCCACAATGAGGCTCCTTAGACAAATCAAAGCTTGCCCCTTTCATCCTCAACTCCTGAATGCACCTTGTCACAGCCCTCCCATCACTCCTCTCTCTTTGCAACTGCCCCCACACCTTCCAGTACCTGTGCACCTTCACCTGCACAAGCCCTACAAACACAAGGGAGGTGCAAAGGGACACCATGGAGGGCAGCCACCACTTGTGGCAAACACCCTCATGGGCCTGTTGCTGGGCCCTGGCCCATGATGTGAACAAGAGGGTGAAAAAGAAACCGTGAAAGATGAAGAAGAATGATGAGAGTTGAAAAAGTTCAGCTTTTATGGTGTCCATTCTTGTTTCCTTATGAGCAATGCGTTTTGCGAAGAGTTCTTCCTCTCTTTGCCACAGCTTCAGGAGCAAGAGGTGACCCGGGCTTTCCGAGATTTCGGTTAAAGGGTGATCCTCTATGGCCTCGATCATGTTGTTGGTCATGGAACATAGAACATTCTTTTGATGATGATGTTCTTGGTCCACTGGGATTTCTACTATGTGATTGTCTTTTGTTTCAGCCATTGTTGTTGTTGTTGTTTCGAAAGAGTGAAAGTGCAGAGAGAAAGAAAATGAAACGATGATGTTGTGAGTGAGAGAGAGAAAGAGAGAGATTGGTAACTGCAGTGTTGTGGAGGGAGAGAGGGATTTGGAACGTTATATACCGTTTTGATTCTCAACGTTAAGGTTCCAACGGTAACATTTTCCATTTTCTCTCTCTTTTGATTTTTTTTCTTTTTCTTTTTAGTTTTATATTGATCTCAACGGATACTTCTGTTCTCTGTTGAATCTTTTTCAGTTAGTTTGTATTAGTAAATGTTGAGTTAAGAAATTATTGAAGAGAGTTATACAAAAATTATTTTAATTTTTCTTGCATTTTTATAGGAGAAAATGATCAGGGCGGTATCTAGAACTAGAAGTTTTTGGGTCTTAAAACAGGAACCGATGTTAATATAGTCTAATAATTTTTATATTATTTTTTTTGTCTTTTTAGCTACACAATTAATTATTTATTAAAATTTTATAATCAAGTAATTCTAACATTTTATTTTTAATAGATAATATAACTAACTCATTTAATCTATCTTGTAGCATAATTGATCTTAAATATGATTTAATCAATTTTAATTTTGAAAATTTTTTTTCAACAGTCGCAACAGTTACGGATGTTAATAATATTCTATAAAGAATGTATGTATTTGGAAAAGAACATGATTTTTTTATATAGTTCAATATTTTTATGGGTATGTTAATTTCATTTGTTAGAATTTCTTTCAATAACTTTAATTCTGAAAATAAATCAAGACCATCAATATCATAATGAGCCTCAAAACTCAAAATCTTTACATGATTGATACAATATTTTTTAAATTCATCTTCTCCTAAAGTTTTATATTTATTTGAATCAAATAAAAAATTAAACATGTTTTCATATTCTAAAAATTGTTTAAATCAACTCTTAATAGAAGAAATAAATTAATCTAATATATACAAAAAATAATAATCAATACAAAAAAAAATCTTCAGCCGAATAAATTATCTTATCACTATCAATGTCATCAAAATGTTTTTTTTCCTATGAATCTAAGGTTTTTCATTGAACTTAGGCTTTATATCTATTTCAATAGTCATTTCTTTGGTGAATTCTAATGCAGATGTAAAACTATTTTCCTATAATTTTTTAAATAATTGAAATGACATGATTGAAATAATTAAAATGTTTTTTTTATAAGATTAACCACTTTTATTATTGCATAAGTGTACCTGAGTGTACATACATGTACATGCATTGTCCCTTTATCAGGAAATAATTTCATCTATTATCTCTTTATAACATTGTATATATACTTGATACCCTAGATCAACTCATGTATAATAAGTATTTTTTCATTTTATAAATTGTTATAATAACTATTTTAGTTTGTTAAAATATGAGTTGGTTATTTAGAATATACTAAATTAGATATTAGATAAAGGAAACATTTAAAATATACTTTTTATACGATTATCCTTTTTTCTTATAGAGTGTACACCAACATATTTCACTGCACATAAATTGTCCTTCTAATGAAAAAGGATTCATTTTTTCCTCTCTTTGTGACATGGTATATGTGTAAAATTTTAAATTTTAATAATATTAAGTAAATTATATTTTATCATAAAAATTAAAAAATGATATAAAAATATTTTTTCAATTATTTTAATTATTTCTAATGCCGATGCAAAACCATTTCAATTAATTTTTCAATTCTTCTTTTTTTTCAACTTTTCAAAACCAGATACATACTTTTTATTTGACATATTTTACTAATTGGTTAAAATAAAAATAACAAGAAAAATAATTTTTAAAATTAAAAGAAGATAACAATGAAACAATAAAATCTAGAAAATGAAAAATTATATCGGTGAATGAAAATTTATTTAAGCTATGGCTATGCACCGTCATAGCTACGAGTATCCAAAACCAAAACTGTAGTGACAATCCCTTTGTTTGCACCTACAATTCTAAAAATTATTATTTGTAAATAAAAGTACTGTATTAAATTATTTTTTCTCTTCGAAATAATTTGAATCGTCATTTGAAAATAATGAATGAATGTTTATGCATTATTGCCTTGACCTTCCTAATGAAAGAGAACAGGAAACTAGGAGATGTATCATGCATTAATAATTAATTTACAATGTTTTAGAAGGGTTTGATGCTGACTTTTCAAAGACATGCAAGAAATCATGAAAAGAAAAAATATTGTCACAATGACAAACTTCAATTTCAATAAAGGAGAATATGTGGTACTGATCCCGAGATGACCCATGACAAATTCACAATGCAATATCATGCAAGAAGTGCACTAAAATGGATTGTCAATGGTGATAACTAAAAAAAGTGTCGATATTATTGAACCAGCACCTAGAATTAGACTAACTTAGTAGTTTTAAGAATCTTATAAAGTAGGAATCAACTAAGAAAAAAGACAGAGTAGGACCTTGCTCCCAATCAAGCTTGCAAATTAGACACGAAGAAGGAATTGAGAATGAGAACGAAGAGAGAATGAGAAAGAGATAGACTAAAGAGGAAACAAAAAGGTTGAAAATCTGTCATCTGCAAAAGACAAAAGTAAGTAGTAGTAATTGTTGAGTGTTGAGTGACTTTTCATTTACAAAAAATTAATAAATGGATTGTGGTTTTTTAAGTAATTTTAATAAAAAGAAAATAAGAGATATAAAAAATGTAAAATATGTGTCTTATAAAATATTGAGCCTTATCTCAAATATTATTTTTTTTTTAAAATTAATTCATATAAATAATGTTACTATAAAAAAAAATTGGAGACCTTATAACTTTGAGAACTCTAAACAGTGACCTTAATTGCCTTATTGAATGTCCAACCCTAAAAATAATCTATGTTGATATATCTAATCATAAATAATCTTTGAAAATAATCTATGTTGATATATCTAATCATAAATAATCTTTGAAAATAATCTATGTTGATATATCTAATCATAAATAATCTTTGAAAATAATCTATGTTGATATATCTAATCATAAATAATCTTGGTATATGTTAAGTTCACTGATTTTTACAAAAGTTACCCTTATTTTTCATTGGTCAATAGTGTAAAAATTCTTTAAACTACTGTGTATAAAAATTAATTATTGTATTTAGTAGATAAAAATATTAAAAAAAAATTTACAAGATGAATACTTTTAAGATAATATTTTTCAAAAAGTTTTTTTTTTTATTTATAAAAACATTAAATGTATTTTATGTAAAAAAAAAATAGTATATTTACAGTTTTATTTAATATTTTCTTCATAGAGTATTGGGAAATTTTATATACACCCTCATTTATCTAATCATAGATTGTCTTGTACGATAATATTGTTAATTTTAGTAATAACTATTTTTAAATATTATATTTGAGGTCTTTCCAATGTAATTTTTTTACAGATTGATAATATATATTACTTTAAATCGTTTAGGATAGTATTCTTTCTTTTTAATAAATCTCTTCAAATTTTTTAATAAGAAATCATTTCTATCTTTTTTTATTGTGTATTGATAAATACAGTTTAAAAAATCCAGAAAGAAATAGTCCCAATTGTGTTAGCAATGGCAGAATCTCCAAAAAGAATTTAGGTCAAAGTAACAATTTTTTACTTCAAATTTTTTTTTTTTTTACATAGAAAGCATGTTTTTCTGTTTGCAAAATTAAACAAGGTTGATAATACAAACTGACCAATAGTCATTTGAAAATAAGAATAGTTTTGAGAACAATTTTATACAGGGAATGACAAAAACTTAGAACCCGATATACTACTGTCAATATATTTTATTGTTCTTCTTTCGAAGTAAACAACTCTTAGCTGATATTTCTTGTTTAGAAAAAAATTAGAGAAAAATTATTTTTAAAAAAATATTTGATGCCAATAAATCAAGATCATATAATTAAACAGAAAATAAATTATTAAAATCTTTTCCTACTTTTCTAGTTCTACTTATTTATTATTTACTGAATTCTATTTTGCTACATTTCCGCTTCAAGTATTTATTTTTATTTATGTTTTATACCCAACTCTTAACCTAACTATCCTTAGCCCACTAAGTCGAACAAAAAAAAAAAAGTTTGCCCAAAACAGGCTTCACTACAGAGGTTTTACTCAACAGCATGGGTTGGCCTATGCTATTTATTTATACATACTCTTATTTTTCCTCTTACACTTCTTTATCATTTTTTTAAAATACCTAATTTGGTCCCTTATAATATTTTTTAAGTTTCAATTTAGTCCCATTTTAATTTTTTGTTTCAATTTAGTACTTAATAATTTAAATTACTTCAATGTCGGACCTTCCGTCCAAATTTCTTAAACGGAGTTAACTGTTGGCCACATGGATGCCACGTAGATACATAGGTGAATGTCAAATTTCTTTAATGCATATGGAACCAGAACGGGTCGTTCTGGTTCCAGAACACCAAACACAAACGGTCAATGATTATAGTTCACGTCCATGATTCTAAATCACGGTTGTGAATCGTGCAAGGAAAAAAAAACCCAATGTACAAAACATTTCAAACACTGGATTTTATAATATTGTAAATGGGGAATTGATAACTTCAATTGCTAAACATTTGGGCTATACACCATTTCTGGACCAATTGCAGGATATAGGAGTTCCTAGAAGTATTAATTATAATATTTGTTATGCAATGCAATGTATCACTAAGGACAACAGTGGCAGGTTTTATTTCATTGTTAGTCAAACTGGAGTGAACCACTTACTACCAAATCAACACTATATAGTTAACGATGAAACGACATGGTGTTTCCCCTTGGAATCATTGACCGATGTACCCCAACAACAACAACCTGTTCTTGAGGAGGTACAACCTGCAGTAGAGGAAGAAGACACACATGACTAACATTTCACCACACAACCACATGTACAGGTAGATAATGTTGATATCCTGTCAGTCATTTAGTGTATGGATCATCGATTGCAAGAAATGGATAAACGCCAACAACATTATAATTATATGGTGAATATGATGTATAATTGGCACCTTCAGCATTATCCAGATGATTTCTCTCCTCAGTAATTTCTTTGAACTTTCTTAGTATA